ATTTTGGTTCAATGGCGTTCGAAACTAGTACGAACAACAATTAAACACTCCGTATAGAACGAGGAGGGGTTAGATTTGTAGATATTCACTTGTTGACCTGCGCAGCATCCCTAGAGCGTCACGTGTGTACATATAACACGGGCTCGCCAGGCCATACGGTTGAGAATAATTTTCCCCTTAGTGTACACCCTTATGTGTATACAAATTAAATCCACATGCCGTGCGCAGCACGATTACCTCCTTTTGAATTCAAATTAAATGTTTGTTCTTGACGCGCACCTGCCTTACATATTCGGTGCCTATAAGCTACTTTGGCACGAATGTTCACTGCATGAGCGCTGGCGTATGACGTGATGCTTAGGTTACGAGGTGAGTGTTCATTCAACTTTAGATCACATTTTGCTTCTCCATCACCTATTGGTACTCATCAAACAGGCGGGAGACGACGCATTCGTGGAAGTACGCTATGAAACACATTATTTTGAATGGAACACTCTTTTCTAAGATCTTTAACCAGTATTAGGACTTCCAAATAGTAATATAATAGAGAGTTGGCCGTATGATATATATTGTGGATGCACAGGAGCATTCTGTTTACAACTCAACTTCCTTGAATACAGGATCGAGAAGATTTTCGAGAGATTCTTTGATCCTTCTTCCATGTGAATCATGCACTGTACACGCGATATAGACTTATGTGAAAATCTGTGATGCATCAGCATGTACGTTCCAGAGTCAAGGTGGGTTAGCTGATACTAGGGCTTAGCAGCACAGCTTTTAGCTACTTGATCTTGAGTTGTATAGCAACCAAGTGGCTTGGTCCTTGCTGGCGGAGGGATCGCTCTGTACTCAGCTACGAGCATTCCTATGAGTACTTCGTAGGAGACCCTTACGTTTGCATGAAACCACCTTTTCACCAATCTTAGGTGTTCTTGATACTCTTTTGTAGAGGCATGGGTCTTTGATTGCTGGTCTCCATATTGCCATCTCAAATCAACGGCGCATTGTTAGGGATTGTTCGTAGGATGTGCATCGAGGTTCTATGTAACGTATCTTGGAGTCACTATTGACCATAACAAATGTTATGTAGTTTGAGCTTCCCTTGCACAGGATTCAAGCCTTGTCCTGTATGTGTTTGGATCCAAGTTCAATTTCATTCCAGACTTTTAAAGTTTCAAACTCAATATGAGTCTTCAAATATCATTCAAGTCTTCTACTGCCATATGGAATTCACCTGCGATTTGAAATCTATGTTTGCAAACCCAAACTTTACTTGGTGTCGTGCAGTTCATGCTCAAATGAACAAGTTCTTGTTGTCCACATCCCCTTGTTCTAACTTTGAGTGGTAGAGTGCAAGTTCAAAATCTTTGGTTCAGCATCTCAGAAGTTCTTTGAAGTTCAAATTGATTATGATTTTGGTTCCAATTTGATTTCATTTTATTTTGATTCGGCCTTTATATTTATTATTTAGGTTTTGTTTCAAGTTCAATCCACAGTCCACAAGTCCTCTGTTTTTTCTGTGTCAACCAAATCCAGGTCCCAAATTGTTCTTCTCATTTGACTTTCAAATCAAATTAAGTTCAAATCTTATATTTCAAATGTTGTTTGGGTTTGAGTCACTAGGTCGATTGAATCAAAGTTTATAAAGTTCGAGTCCACCGTTCAATCAAGTTCCAAATGTTCACACAGTGAGTCCAAGTTCGATCGTCCTTGAGTTCAAACAGTTCTCAGCTCTTTGTTCTTTCGCATGTCATTCGATGGCCGTGCAAGTCAATCCAAAGTGTTCACATTAGCGTTCACCCGAAAATTTCGGCACAACTCCGGCGTCTCCCCCGTTTAGGGGAAACATGGAAAACTGGGCTCTTCCCCACCACGGCTAGAAAAGCGTGTATGGTAGGTCCCTCTTTCGAGGTACACCGCGCCTGTTATTTTTGATCCCACCAACGCTAAAAAAGCCGTGTATGAGGCGGGGTTTCCAAGGCGATACAAACTTCCAGAAGGAATTTCGGTGATTACCGCTTCGTCGCAAGCGTCGTGCGCACTCCCTCCACAACGCTAAGAAAAAGCGTGTAATAGGTGGTCGTTTTGTCTCGACGTATGCGATGAAATCGGGTTCGGAGTTTTAGGGTAGAGAGTTATACTGCGCGGGTCGAGTGTGTCAGCGACGGATCGAGGGAGAAGGAGCACTTGATTGTGCTTATCAATATATAATTATAAGTTATTAAATAATATTATAATGACCTCAATAATTTATAAAATAATAATTTTAATTTAAAAATATACTAATTAATCATAATTAATTAATTAACTTCAATTAAAATTAATCATAATTAGTTAAGATTAATTATGATTAATTACTTAAAATTAATCATAATAATTAATACAATTATAATTAAACTTAATGATTATAGTTAATTAAAATTATTAATGTTTTAATCTAAAATAATCTCTAAATTAAAATTAATTCTAAATAATTATAATTTATTAAATATAAAAAATTAATTCTAATTACAAACAATTAATATTAGTTTAATTAAAAATCAAATTAATATTAAAGTTTCTTAAACCAATAACCTCCCATCCTCCCTCTTTCGACGACATCATTGGATTTGGTCGAAGCAGAGCGCGTGAGAGGGAGAAATTACTTCACAGTCAGCTTGCTCCCGTGCTTGCTTTGATCAAAATGGTCGTGACAGAGCGCGATAGGAAGGGAATGCCGTCGGCTAGGGATTCCGATTGCAAGGTCAGAGAAAGCCACGAGAGTTGGCTTTGGTTTTCGGTTCAGGGACGAACGAGAGGAGGCCGGGTACAGGGAGTCGATCTGTCTTGGGGAAGAGGAGCTCGGGTATGAGGTAGGAACTTGATCTCTCTCTCTCTCGGCTCCTCTAGATCGAACGAACCCGCAGGAGTTGCGGGTTGTTGGAGTCGGACGGGATGGAGATCGGAGGGAGATTGGGATCGAGCTCGGTGGAATGGGGTCGGCCGGCTACCGGGACAAAGTCGGAGGAGGCTTCGGGTTGGAGCGTGGAAGAGCGTCGTGGGAGCAGCTCGGGATCTCGTGAGGTGAGGGAGAGATGTCGTGTGTGGAATCGGGCGTGTGGAAGCAGCGTGAAAGAGCGAATGCTTACGGGAAGGAGAGGAAGTAGCGATGGGAGCTCGGTCGCGTGTAAGAAGCAGCAGCCGAAGCCTTCATCTCCTTCGGTATTTAACATCGCGAAAGGCGTTTAGTTGGCACGCGATTTGGGCTTAGTTTCCGGAGAAGCGACGCAACGGCGCCGAGCTACAGGAATTCAGCGGGATTTCTTGCTGGATTTCGGGAGATTCGATCTGTTTCTTGATGTATACGAGGTATGTAATTTCTTGGTTATTACATAGAGGTTAACACCATTTAATATAATTGGGGAACAATTTAATCATTCATAAAGAGTTCAGGGACAATTTTAATCATTTTCCCACATAAAAGTTATTTTTAAAAATATGAAAAAAAAACCCAAGAGGGGCCGACTGCTAGAATAGAAAGACGAAGCACACAAATTGAAATTTAAGGGTTATAAGAGGATAAATCCAAGGGTTAGAACCGTTAATTAGAGCACTCAAGGATTCCTACCACAATTCATTGACTTGTGGGTCCCACCAACCTTCAACACCCACTCAAACTGAAGGGTTTAGATCTACCAATTCATGTTTGCTTATAACATTTTTTAGTGTAGGATTACAGAGTCTCTTGATGAGAATGACTGAAAATTAATTTTCTATTAGCACATATAGAGTGCAGATCAACAGACCTTTCAATTTTTTTTTATGAATTGTTTATCAACCATCACATGCTTGATACAATCATGTTGTCCTAGGTAAGTATTGTTGATGATAAATTTATTATCACAGTATAATTCCATTGGCAGTTCGGCACTTCCTATTCGATTTTTACTTCTTTCAAAATGATTGTGACTCACAGAAGCTTGCAGATTTCTTGAGCAATGTTTCTAAATTCAAAATCAAAGTTAAATTTTTAAATAATGGGTTATTTCTTGCTCCACCATGTTATAAGATTTCTTCCCAAATATTTCGGAGATCAAAACATCAAGTATGAGCATTCTTTTTCCTTTTTCGGCTTGTATGAGAGAAAAAAAAATCTAACTTAGTGATGAAAAGTTTTCTTTGCTTATAATTTTGACACAAACTTGCTCAAAATCATTACTGAATCCTTCAAGAAACTCAAACCTTTCACTTCTTACAAATTTGCTTGAGAATTATCCCGTCATCATGACATGTCATCTTGAGACCTATGATGCACGGACACGGCGACACGGACACGACACGACACGGATACGGGACACGGCCTTTTTTGAAAATATAGGACACGGGTACGGCGCGGACACGGCAATACATTTTTTTATATAGTGTATATATATTAATGTAATATCACATTAAAAATGACAAATAATAATAAATGAATGACATGATAACTTGTCAAGCTTATAATATAAAATATT